ATTTTCACCCATGTAGAAGATACAAAAGGATCCCTAATACTATTTACAACAAAAAAAAGAAGAAGGGTGAAATACATATTGAGCACAAAAGTGTCCAAGTCCGTCAAATCGACTAAACAGATGGTAGATTATCATCCGCCACTTCTTTGCCATGCCCTGAAAAATGTTAAATGTAATAGGGTGAGCATAAAACTCTGTAAGTGGTGCTTAAGACACACCTCTTGTGACCCCATGAATCCAAACAATGAATAGAAATAAGACAACGGGGTTATACTATACCGGGGAAAATACCATACAAACTCAAGTCATAATAGAACAATTTCATGCCGTGAAGTGCAATGCCATGTATGTCACTCCTTATTTTCAAAATCCAAATCCATCACTTTTCAAACTGCTAATATAACCCGTCCATTGGTGACTCAGTAGTGATACGAGAAAAGGATTGGCTACTGTCTCTGACCCTTGGTACCCCCGCGACATTATTTGGGGCCCAGATAGGTCAACCACACTAGGGTGTTTTCCCTAGTTCTCTTTAGGTTACATTAACACGCCGGCCCTTTAGTAACTCCGCGGCGACCGGGTTTTCATAAAATCCATTTAATTAAAATAATTCCCCAAAATCTTTTTTTCATTTGTTTCAAATCATTTCCCTTCATTCATGCCCCATGGTATGCATGTATGTATCATGTTTTCAATGCTAGGGCAATAAGGGATTTTATACTATACAATTAAGCATGCTTCCATCTAACAAGTTGTAATAATTTAACAAACACAATAGGCATAGAAAATCAATAATTAGGCATGCTTTCCATGTAAATCAACAAATACACATAATTGGATGCTTTATATACACAATTAAATCATTTAAGAGACAATCAATTCAAATTAAGCTAGCTTGATAAAAATTATAGTAGAAAAACTCACAAATGTGCAAGAAAGTGAGGATTAGAGACCCCTACCTCAAGATATGCAAAGACCCCCAAATTGTGTCCTAAATTTTGAAATTCCTAAAGTTCACCGAACAAGGAATTACTCCGATCAAATCGTAGATCTCGCCGTGATCTTTAATTTGCCGCAAACGGCACTCAAAATTACCAAGAATTGAGGGAGAAATCTAACTTTGTAGCTTTGATAGAAAAATAAAAAGAAAAAGCAAAGAAAAGGGGGTGAGAGAGAGACCAATGGGGAGAGAGAAAAATGGAGAAGGAAATGAGGCCAAAATGCCTCTTTGTCTATCTTAAAACATTAATGTGGATCCCACCTTTTTTTTCTTTTATTTTTTCTTTATTTCTTTTCCTTTTTACATCACACAAAAACTTATATATATATATATATATGCACCAACCATAATATAGTCACATATTAAATCACAACCACATGCAACACCTTAAATAAAAATGAACATGATGCAATTGAACCCAACCATAACCCTCGTACACAACAACTCCGGTAGCGGGTCCCACACGGAACCGTCCGACCCGAAAAACTGATAAATGCCAACATGACCGCCCTTGCATTTTCAAAGAGCCTTGAACTCAATGAAACACCCCAACTCTCTGATACAATCAGCACATTCTACGATGTCCGGCACGCAAAATGAGAAAAGACGAAAATACCCTCAAAAAATCAGAAAATTCTAAAAAATGAAAAAATGGCAAAAATTGGAATCACTACAGGAAATTGATGGTTGTGGCAGTGGTTGCAGTCAGCTAGGGCTTGTGGATGAGGAACAGAAGAGGGAAGGAGCGGGGTTTTGATGGGCTACGATGAGATAGGCTATGGACTTCTTCTTTTTTAATTTATTTAAATAATGCTATAGTAAAAAAAAAAAAAAAAAAAAAAAAAAAAAAAAAAAAAAAATGTAATTTCAGTGGACAGTGTAAAAAATAAAGAAAGTGAGGAATTAGAAAGTATTAAAAAGTAAAATTTTTTATTAAACATTATTTTTACTTTTGATTCTCAATTTTAAGAATTGACAGTAGAGATCAAGAATTACTCTCATTTGTAAACATGTCCATAATGAGTTTTATTTCTTATTTAAAATACTATTTCCAAATTTTAATATTAACCAATTGAAACAAAGGTAAGGTATAACTGTGGTATGTCAGAGCATACATAGTGGTGCTGCTAATTAATGGAATGCAGAAACGTTTTGGCCCATAACTCCGGGTCATAGCCCTGGCGTTGGTCATGCATATGTAAATGCATTTCGGCCCACAAAACCTGGTCATAGCCCTGGCATTTGTCATGGATATGTAGATGTTTTTCGGCCAAAAAGCCCGGTCATAACCCTGGTGTTGGTCATGTATATGTAATGATTTTCGGCCCACAACGCCCGGCCATAGCCCTGGTGTTGGTCATGGATATGTAGATGCTTTCCGGCCCATAGAGCCCGGTCATAGCCCTCCTGTTAGTCATGGATATGTAGATGGTTTTTGGCCCAGAAAGCCCTCGCTCTAGTGCTGGTAAATCTAATTCAATAATTTTTAATTGGTTATTTATACCAAATACAACTAAGTGGAGGACTCCATTTCCTTATTTGTTACATAATTAAACAATTAAAAGAATAGGTTTAACAATTCACTACAACGGTGTAAGAATCATTTTCCAAATTTAAATGAAGAACAATTAAGTAATATCACCAAAATTTGAAGATTATCTCAACATATTCAACGTAGAGTAGTACAAACTCATCCTAGAATTTTTTGTTACCATATTTTCATCAGACACCAATTAATGCACCATTTGTTGCATTGAAACCTTTTTAAATTAAGCATGCTTTTGACTTATATGGAAATTAAATATGGAAATTAATAATGAAAATTGAAAGTAAAAGAAAGTGAAGTGAATAAAAAATAAAAATAATTTTATAAATTACATTTGATTAATATAAAAAAGTAAAGAAAATAATGTAACCTAGAACACGTAAAAAATTCTAAGCATATTCATTTTATATGAAGACAATATTTAGTTCCAAAAATTTGCGTACGAGGTCACATCTATGATTTGTTTTTTATTTTTTTATTAAAAAAATAATAATCTCTTTACCTTTTGATTTTTTTTAAGAAAAAACCCTTTAAATTCGTCAACAAATATATGAGAAGCAAAAGATTAAAATTAATCACAGAAAAAATACATTTTATTCCATATTAAATTTAAAATTCTTCAATACCAAGTTTATCCCACAAATATTCTATGAAAAAAAGTTTAAAAATCATGAGTGATTTATTTAGCGTTGAGAAAAAGACAAACAAACAAACAATTGAAAAAAATAAGTTGTAAGAATTTTAAGAATTTTTTTTTTTAAAAAAATAATGTAAATTTTTTAAAAAAAAATTAATAAAGAGTAGCTACTCGCTAGCCTAACCTAGCACCTAGCACCTAGCACCTAGCACCATACCGAGCCACATGGGGGAGCCAAGATTTTATTTTAGGGGGTTAAAAAAAAGGGAAAATTACATATAAATGGAGTCAAAGTTTCATATTTACTTAGAGGCGGAGTCAAAGTTTCATATTTCTCTAAAATGGATTGCTGAGGTGTCACATGGTTTTTTACTGTTTAGAAATTGTGGTGCCTAAAATACCCTTCCGCGAAGGTACTACTTTTTCTTCGAAGGTACTACTTTTTTGAACTGAAGGTACTACTTTTTGGTATCCAGGTACCATGTTTTTTAAACACCCGCGAAGGTACTACTTTTTCTTCGAAGGTACTACTTTTTTGAACTGAAGGTACTACTTTTTTGAACTGAAGGTACTACTTTTTTGTTAGGGAAGGGCATTTTAGGCACTACAATTTTCTAAACAGTAAAAAACCATGTGCCACCTCAGCAATCCATTTTAGAGAAATATGGAACTTTGACTCAGTCTCTAAGTAAATATGAAACTTTAACTCCATTTATATGTAATTTTCCCTAAAAAAAAAATCATCAAGTATAACAAATCAAAAGGCCAAAAAAAAAAAAAAAAATTAATTACAAAATAATATGCTAAATAAGTAATGTAAAAAAATAAATACTTTGATAAATATAAAAACCAAAATATTGATTAATAATAAATACAATCAGTGGGTATTGTAATTGAAGAAGGGGGATATGTGTAAACTTTTTATTTTTTTTAAAAGAAAATTATAGGAATTTGAAAATATTAGAGAGGGCATGGTTCAAAATTGTCATATAAATATATATAAATAACAGAGAGTTAGAGCAAGATCAGGCGCATGCCCTGTGAACCTTAATTCGCTCCGCCCCTGTCCAGCCGCATTTGTGTAGAGCTAAAGTGAGCCCATTGGACTAACACGGCTCTCTGCACTCACAAATAGACAGTACCTATAATCAAAAGGAAAGATGCATTTATAATGTCGATTTTGTACTTTGTAGCACAAAGAGTACACAGAGTAGTTGTGTCAGTACTCAATACCCAATAGACAAATATATACCTGTAATCAAAGATGCTTGGCCAGTTTGATTTATTTATTTTTTAAAAAAAATAAATTATGTTAGATAAATATTTTTAAAAAAATAGTAAAAAAAAAAAACTAAAAAACAGCTACTTTCCTTTCCAAAAACTGTCAAACAAACGTATTTTTTTACAGTTTGTTTTATTTTTAATTATGTAAAAATTGAACCAAACAGGGGTAAAGAAAGGACCGATTAGGATCACTCAGTCGCGGGGAGAGAGAGAGAATTAGGTGATTCCCTCTCTAGTTTCTTTAATTTTTTTATTCCCTTCCTTTATCAAGTGTGATTGTGTATCCTATTTTCTCTATTTAATCAAAATTAAATTTATTTACCAAAAAAATTAAATTTATAACAACTTCAGTGTAGTATGCTTTTAAGTTTGTATAAAGTAATTCTTCTTCCAATTTTTCTATAGATTTGGAATATGTCTCCACATTATATATTTTACATTGTATCAGAGCTAAAGTGGACTCCAACCTTTAATTTGGTGGTTCACATTATTTTATTATTAATTTTTTTTTTTTCTCTCTTCGTTACATAACCATGGCTTTAATCTCAAACCATGAGGGATCTTCAAAGAAAGTGCGAAAATTTCTCAACAAGGAGGATAGGATCAGCAGCTTGCCAGACTCCCTTCTTGTTCACATTCTCTCTTTCCTACCAACAAAATATGCGGTCGGAACCAGTATACTGTCATCAAGATGGAAGCACTTATAGGCTTCTGTTCCCACTCTAGACTTCGATGATAACATGAGATTTAAAGCTATATCTTATGCAGATAATAGTCCTTCCAACTTCATGAACTTTGTTGACCGAGTACTTCTCCATCATGATTTGTCCTTTATTCAGAAGTTCCGATTGAATTTCCAAAATTATAATGTTGATGATTTCTCCAAAATACATACATGGACAAGTATAGCCATAAAACGTGGTGTTCAAGAACTTGATATACAGATCTCGAATTGCCCATCCGTACAACGTAGCTTCCCTTTAAGTCTCTTCACTTGTCCAACATTGGTAGTCCTAAAACTGGGAAGTTTTATAGGTTTCAGTGTTCCTTGCTCGACCCATTTTAAAAGTCTCAAGGTCCTCCATCTTTCTGTCTGGTTTTTTGGTGATGAAGTAATGGAAAATCTTTTCTGTAACTACCCTGTTCTTGAGGAACTGTTTATCGAAGCAGCTGTATGTATTGCTGATGAAGTCATGTTTGATATCTCGACGCTGTCCCTGAAAGTCTAAAGTTAGATTTGAGGGGATTCTGGGGAGGTGATGATGAAGATGATGAGCGAGAAATTGTGGTCACTGCACCAAATCTTGAGGATCTTACTCTCCAAGATGATTTCTTGTCTTTCTATGAGCTAAACGACCTAATCTCGTTGGTTAAAGCAGATGTTAACATTGGAGAGTGCTGCACAAAATCTATGGTAATCAAAGAGCGTGCTAATTCGGTGTTTGAGGTTCTGGAAGAGATTTCTACTGTCAAATATCTATCTTTAGGCGCTCGTACCATGGGGGTAATCAAACTCGAACTTCTTTACTTAATCATACTATTAATAGTGTTATTTTTTTTTAATTTGATTTAGTATATGTGGCACTTCCGTTTGTTTGATTATTATGTTCGTATCTTATTAAGGTTCTTGACCATGCTGATGATGATGATAATCTGCCATTGTTCCCGAATTTGATTCGTTTGGAGCTGCACGTTAACAAATGCTATGGCTGGAATCATCTACTAGACTTGCTCAATAGCATGCCTAACCTGCAATGTCTTGTTTTGGAGAAATCAAAGGTGAATAAACATTTAAGTTACAATGTTGAGTATGTATGAAGTTTTGATTCACAATTTCTGAACGTCTGATTATTGTCTCCAGGAATGTGGACGTCCTGAAGATGATGCTTACGAGAATTTCAATTTTGTTGAACAACAAGTGGTGCATCTTTGTCTGGTGATGCACCTTCAAGACGTTAAAATTAATGGATTTCGGGGGCTGAGTGGTGAGCTGAGGCTGATTGAGTATTTCTTGAGAAATTCCAAAGTACTGCATAAGATGGAAATTGAAAATTTTAATTCGGAAGAAAAGCAAGAGAGAGAGTTTCTCGACAAACTGCAAATGCTTCCGAGGGGTTTAATAACATGTCAAATTTTAATCACCCGGAAGGAAAATTTTGCTCCAGCCTCGACACAAAAGTGAGAAAGTTATTGCAAACTGTGGCATTTACACCATTGTTCTTCTTGATATATAACTTTTCTGTCTAAGGAACCAATTGGGCTCTTATCTTTTGCTATATCTGATTACTTTCTATATTATTGAAAAAAAATTAGTTTTGTTAAACATATTTCTAATGAGACAGTTATTAGTTACAGTTTGATAAACCTATTTTTAACCCTTTTACATTGAAAGAATGAATGTGAATTAAAATTGAGCAACAACCCACAGAACTTTAGAAATGATTGATTAGTGTCAATTCATCACCTGGGAGTTGGTTACAAGTTGGACTTTCCCTCCACAATATTGATGGACTGTTATTCAGAAAAGATTTCTTCCAACTTTAAGAACTTTGTTGATCCAGTACTTCTCCATTATGATTTGTCCTTCATTCACAAGTTCCGTCTAAAATTAAAACTTGTTGCAGAAGTTTTTTTTCATAATTAATGGTGACAAAATTGTGGTCAATTTATCATGGTGATTTAGCTTATGTGCTCACAGCTGTTGATCAAATGCAGAATGCTCATTTATAGAATTACTCAAAAGGATTACTCATTGGTCTTCTAGATCCCTTTCCTATGCTGGGAGGCTCCAGCTCATTAAAGCAGTGCTCGTCTTTACTCAATGCTACATTTCTAGTAACTAGCACATTCATTATCCTGTGATGAATTAGCTTAAGGCTACGTTCGGCTGCATAAATTCAAAGGCTCTAATTTTATGTAGCCGAATATAGCCTAATTGAACTTTTAGATCATTAATATAGTTTGGTGCTGAGACGAAGACCTTTGGTGCAAAGGTTGTCTGGAAAATTGACCACAAGCTTGGAATTGTTCAACATATATGCTATCATGAGTGACAAAATATGGGACAGATGGTGCAAGCATTACCTAATCAATGGTAGAATCCTGTGGACTTTGGAAATCCCTCATAATTACTCCTGAAATTGGAGGAAAATTCTACAGTTAAGACGCTGGGAAGAAAGGAATGCGATAATTTTCAGGGGAAAATGCTCTCTCAAGGGTGTGTCCTGGCTCGAATCTCTGATTACATAACCTCTATTCTTTTTGAAGGATTGTGTGGCTTCTAGGGCTATGCTCTATGAATGGTCTTCCTCTATTAGTTTTGGGCTTGCCTATTTGCCTATGGCTTCGGGATGGCAAAATACTCCGCCCCACCCCAGCCCATTTAAAATGGTTATGAGTTGATTAAATGGTTTTGGAGCGAGAATTTGAATTAAGATTGAAAACCCGCGGGGGGCGGGATGGGAAAAGGTCACCCTGTCCCGACCCGCCAAGTTTATAGTGATAAACTGAAATTTTTTTTGTTATATTTTACTTTATATTCAATAATATTAGGTTTATATTAAACAAAGTCTAGTTTATTCTATAAACATCCTTTTGTATTATTCTTATTGAAGAGCTTCTATGTATTATTTGCATATTTCTATAGCAATATTAAGTTTTGAGTTCCAACTGAAAAGTTGAATGATTTTATCCACATAAGAGAAAAAAAAAATTATTACCATAATAAAAAATTTGTCATATTATTTTACTTTAGTTAGATTCTTAATACAATTAGGAAAGTATTTTTACAAAACCTGCCCTATTGCCGTCTCAATTAGGATTGTTTTGCTAGCTTGGGACGACTAGGGTTTTGGTCACCTCTTCAACACACACTTAAATAGTTTTGAGAGAGGAAGTGGAGGACTAGGGTTTCACTTTATTTTTATTGCAATCGTAATCGCAATCGCAGTGAGACAAAGAAAGAGACGATTGATGAAGTGAAATTAATTGATGGTAAGAAAGACTAAAACACCTTCTTTGTTATATTCTTCAGTGCCTATGAGCCTTTGTTAGAGATTCATGTTATTGCAAATTCGATTTATCTACCCAAAAAAAATTATATGTATAGTATTTACAACTTGTGTGTGTGTGTGTGTGTGTGCTCGAATTTGTTTTGATTTAAAATAATTCTTTTTGGAATTTTTTTTTTAGCTAAAATATTCTTTTATTTTTTGTTAACTTTTAATATTTTTTTTCTTCTCAAATATTTAATGACAACCGAAAATCAGAAAATAAAAAATATTTTACTACGGAGCCATAGTGTTTGTCAAAAGTACTATGTAGGGCTATTTTCATACAAAGGAGAAGAAAGAGCCCTAGTGATTGGAACAAAAAAATGAATGTAAACTTTTTCTTCCAAACAAAGTTCCCAGGGCCACAGAATATATTTGTACCGTAAATTAATTTTTTTTCTTTATCTGACTAATATGACACAGTCATTTTGTGTGTACTGAGCATGTTTTTAATTTTTTTACCATTAAATATATTTTTGTATATATTACATAATCATGGCTTCAATTTCAAACCAAAAGGGATCTTCAAAGAAAGTGCCAAAACTTCTGAACAAGGAAGATAGGATTAGCAGCTTGCCAGACTCCCTTCTTGTACACATTCTCTCTTTCCTTCCAATAAAATACTCATTCCGAACTAGCATACTATCATCGAGATGGAAGTACCTCTGGGCTTCTGTTCCCACTTTAGACTTCGATGACAAATCAAGTTCGAATAAGAGGCTTAAGTGCTCTTCCAACTTCATGAACGTCGTTGATCGAGTACTTCTCCATCATGATTTGTCTTGCATTCAGAAGTTCCATTTGAACTGTTTTCCATACAATGACGGTGATTTATCAAGAATATATACATGGATAAGTGTAGCCATAAAGCATGGTGTTCAATTACTTGATATAAAGATTAGTCCAACTCGAGAAAAATTTTACTTACCTTCAAGCCTTTTCACTTGCCCAACATTGGTAGTCTTAAAACTGGAATATCTACGAAGTTTCATTGTCCCTTGTTCAGCCCATTTTAAAAGTCTCAAGGTCCTCCATGTTTCGTTTTATCATCTGGACAACGACTTGACGCTAAATCTCTTTCATAACTGCCCTGTTCTTGAAGAGCTGTTGGTGAGAGGAATTGTTCAGGGAAATGAAAAACGACGTTTTAATGTCTCCACGCCTCGCGCTCTGAAGAGTTTTAGGTTTTATTTTCAAACGTTTGGTGTTTGTGAATACAATAGGAATGAAATTGTGATCAATGCACCGATTCTCAAGTATCTTTCTCTCCAAAATGATTGCGTGCCTTCCTGTATGCTGAAGAACCTAACATCGTTGGTTCAAGCAGATGTTAATGTTGGATACTGCTGTTCAAATGCTTGGGCAACCGAACAATATGCCAATAATGTATTCATGCTTCTGAGAAATATTTGTACGGTCAAATATCTATATCTAGGTGCTCGTACCATGGAGGTAAGCATGCACTTCTTATCTTGATACTACTTTCTGAGTGTTAGATTTGCTGCATCTCTTATATATAGCACTCTCATTCGACTATTATGTCCATTTCTTATTAAGGCTCTCGAATATGCTGGTGATGGTGCACCGCTTTTGTTCCCTAATTTGATTCGTTTGGAGCTGCATGTTAACAATTGCTGTGGCTGGACATGTCTACTACATTTGCTCAAATGCACGCCTAACCTGGTATATCTTGTTTTGAAGAGATCGAAGGTGACTAAACTTATACGGAACAATTTGAAGTATGTATGTAGTTTTTGATTCACGATCTCTAAACTTCTGATTTCTGTTTGTAACAGTGTCAACATAAAGATTCCAAGGATTTCAAATTTGTTGAACCAGAAGTGGCGCCTTGTTGTCTATCTACGCGTCTTCAAGAAATTGACATTACTGGATTTGTGGGGCTGAGCAGTGAGGAGAAGCTGATGGGGTATTTTTTGAGATATGCTAAAGTGTTGCGAAAGATGACAAATAATTCTTGTAATTCAAAGGAAAATTAGCTAGAGCGGGAATTTCTCAAGAAACTGCTAATGATTTCGAGCAGGGGTGGAGCCAGGATTACAAAGTGAACTGAACTAAGAGAAAGAGTAGTGTTGCATATGGACCGAGTTAAGAAGAAGAGTAGTATTGCATATGTACATTAGCACTAAATTTTTTTTTTTTTTTTGGGACCAAGACTATAGCCCAGGTTAGCCCTTCAGTAACTCCGCCCCTGATTCACTAACCAGTCCAATTCTACTTTCTTAACAACTTTTTCTGTTTTGTTATTTTTGTTTCATTTATTTCTGATGAGACTGGTTTATTTTTCTTTCAAAAACCTATTTTTAATTCCTTTACATTGAAAGATCAAAATTCTAATTTGGAGAACTTTTGTCAATAATTTCAATTATCTACTTCAACAAATTTGCAACTACTTTCCCTCCATAATCTTGCATTTTACATTATTTTGAAAATGTGTTACCGCAGGTTCTTTATTCCATGTTTGGCCATCATTATTGATAGTTATTGTTACTCTGCTCCTGCTATGGCTAATAGTTATATCAATGTCTGTTTCACAGTTACAAACTGTTAAACTTTACAAGGCCTGTCAACTGAAGCATATTGTTTTATAAATTCACATCTGGTTTTACAAGGTTTTGGATACATTAGAAGGTAGGTGGAATGAGTGGTAGATGCATGTAATTACATAATCTTAAGATCAAATTGTATGCTTCACTTTCAATCACGACCAAGATGTAATATATATATTTTTTTATTTTCTGGTGTATTTTTTTTTATTTTTTAGTGTTTGGTTGTTGTAAAAAATATTTATGAAAAAAATATATATTAAAATTTAAAGGGTAAAGTGCAAAAAACCCCCTTCAACTATTGGCCATGTGCAATTAACCCCCCTGAACTACAATTTGCCCCCTTGAACTATTGAATTTGGTGCAATTGACCCCCAATGTGACATCTCCGGCCAATTGGTGTAAACGGAAATAGTAAAAGACAATTTTACCCTTCTAAAAGAAACCTTATGACCATGGTGACATGGAGGGGAGCTTCAATCAATGACAGACATACCCACGCTGAACCGTGCCATGCAGCTTCTCCGGCGACGGCAACCCATTTCATTAACTGAGTCGTATATGCGCTATGGGTCGAGCACCTTAATCACGAAGCTTCAACAGCATCAATGGTGGTCGCGAGACAAGAACGACGACTGGTGTGATTCAGTGCTTGCCGGTTTCTAAAATCAATTCAACCTCTCCGCCGGGAACTCCCAGTCGTCCCAACACGGCTTCTGGGCAGGAGCATTCAAGACGTTCGAAAAGCCAACAAGTGGTTTCGCCTTTTCCTCCCGATCTCTGTTGTGATGGTGCAAACAAAGGTCCTGCAATTGATTCCACCCGATTAAGAAAAATTATTCAATCAAATATGCGACAAAATGGGTTCATTCGGCGATGGAGCCACTGGTTATTCCTACGGCAGTGAAGCAGAAGCTGAAGTCGAAGAGGTGGTAGTGGCTGCAGGTTTTGATCTACACTGCGAGACAACCACCACCACGAACACCAAATCCAAACCCCAAATTGAAAGCCAAGAACGCACAACACGACCACCGGTCTTGATTTGCAGGTGGTTACCAAATCGTCCTCAATAAATCGATCTACTGCAGTGGTGGCCACTGCCGTTCCATCCCGCCAAGCCGCGCCGCGCCGCAATCTCACAACCGAGCTTCTTCTTCCATCGCCGGTCAAACCCTCACCGGACGAGCTCTTCACAGTCGACCCCTCCATCGTGGACGAGCTCTTCACAGCCGTTCCATCCCGCCGAGCCGCGCTGCGTCGCAATCTTACAGCCGAGCTTCTTCTTCCATCGCCAGTCAAACCCTCACCGGACGACCTCTTCACAGTCAACCCCTCCATCGCAGACGAGCTCTTCACAGCCGACCCCTCTTACTCGATTTTGGATTTTTTTTTTTTTTTTTTTGGATTGTATATTGTGTTTGGGCTTTACTTAGGCCTTGTTTGGTTGCGGCTCAAGCACTATCCCGGATTAGACAATAATAAGGGTACATGTGTCATTTGATTCACTTAGCTTAAAGGGTTATATGGTCATTTAAAAAAATTTGAATAGTCACGTGACCGATCATGTGCGTCTTTACGGTCAAATTCAACGGACTTGTCCCCGGACGGGGTTAATTGCACCAAATTGGTTAGTTCAAGGGGGTTATATGTCAAATTAATAGATCAGGGGGGTTTTCTGCTTCATGGCCAATAGTTGAAGGGGGTTTTTTGCACTTTACCCAAATTTAAAATATATATATTTTATCAATTTTCAACAAATTATTTTACACGCGAGTCAAACACCGAAATATATATATATATATATATATATATATATATATATATATTAGAATTGATCTACTCTTGATGGCCATTTGCATCATTCATCATCCTGATGGCGCACAAATCAGAAGAAGTTACTTCGATCACTTCCATCATCTATAATAGACACTCCTTAAATACTCACAAAAGTTTTGAATATTAAAAAATAACTTTTATAACAATAATATTATAGTATAATTATTAAGAAAAAATTTAATTTTAGTTTAAAAAGAAGTATTGAGATATAGGCTTCGGACATAAAATATTTTTAAAAATATATTTTTTTATTAGCTGTGATTAGTTGTCCGTAAAATATTTATCAAAAAAATAAATATTAAAATATAACAAAAATAATTTATTCATAAATTTTGGACAAATTATTTTATATGTCCCGCCCACTAAACCATAATATTTTTTCAAAAAGAATATTTTATATCAAAACAAACGTAATATAATTTATTTTAGCCAATGCCTTTTGTAACTTATATTTTCACGCTACTGTCCCAGTAGGGCACAATTTCTGATACTATAATAAACGAATTATTAAGACTTGCAGGGTATTATTTAATTTTTCGTCACAGTATTTATTACTTTGCCTCCGCAACTTTTCTGTATTAAAAATTATGAAACAACAATTCTTGCAAATAGTGGGAAAAATAAATAAATAAACAAAATTAAAGATGAAATGAGTACTAGTGGAGAGAAGGTTTTGGCTTATGTCCATGAAATGACATCGTTGTAATGCCTGAGGCCTGCAATAGAACATTCACGGTCACAGACAATGAGAGTGAAAGGTGATGAAAAAAGACAAAAAAAAGGTCGATCAAAACTTGCAATCACAACGGCACTACGCAAACACTCAACAGGGGCGTCATCTGTTTCTGCTAGGGTTTCATATGGTTTGTGCGTTGATCGATGATGATGATTCTGTTGATTATTTGATGTCTTTTTACTGCGCACTTAATCTCTCTCCTTTGTTTTCTTTTTTTATGAATTTGTGACTGGAATTTTTTGGGGTTTAGGTTTTGCAATTAAGTTACTTTTTAGTAATTGACACACCTTTGTTTATATTAAACAATTTTATATTCATATAATTGTTTAATCTAAAATCGGAAAGTAAATATTCATAGAGCCGTTGGGTACCATGTGCTGCTTGATTCTCTCTCATGATATATATATATATATATATATATATATATATATATATTATGCAATAGGGAAGTTTGAAAAGTGCTGCATTGGCTCTTCCTGTCAATGGGATTTCTTCTCCTCCATTGTGAAAAGATTGCCTTTTTTTGAGTTAGTGATCCCAAGTTTATTTAAATGTGAGGTGAGGGTTGTGTTTTGCCCCATTTGGCATGCTTTTTTGCATAATCTTCAGTCTTCACTCCCCACATGGCCACTTCGATTTTATTAATGTTATTTATTTATTTATTTGGTGGGCTAAGCTGTTCTAGTTTTTGCGAATCCCTAATCCAAAATTAGGGGTTCGATGTTGTTGAATTTGTGTCATGTGAGTACATTCCATAACTTGGGTTAACTCAAACACGGCCTATTTTATAATCGTGTTATATATCCTCAACCTTAATGCATCATCTTTACTAGTGAAATGACATGACAACTTAGCAACAATTTCTTCAACTAGTTTCAAAATTAATCACTTTATCCCTATATTTTCTGCAAAAGAACAAAATTTGAATCTATCCAGTGCATTTGACTAATTCATGCATTGATTTGAATATCCCGAATATTCTTAGCGTATTGTGGCTTTTTATTTCTTAAAAGTTCTCCTGAAATTCTCTCTAATTTTTTTTTTACCCCCTGAATCACTCCAAGTTGTTAATACTGCTTACTAATTTCCAAATTTTGAATTTGTCACCATGCGTGACAGATTTAGCCTTTTTTTGATATACAGATCTTGTCATGTCGATTTGTGTTGATCTGCTGTTTGATAATAAGTACGAAAGAAACATGATTACACAACAAGTCTATTATGAGGGCACGAGCTCACTCTATGAGCACACTCATTATATTTTTTTTATTGATTATATTGTCCGTTTACTGTGGATAATATTTTCTTTTCCATGTGATGAAATATTTAGAAACAAGTATTTTATTCATTTAAATTTGATATTCCATCATATTTAGACATGGAAGCAGAAATATTTTTAATCTTCATGTACATGTTGAGGCAAGTATTATTCATTTTTTCGAATTTCTCCATGACTAAATGGTTATTGTATGTAAAAGATCCTCTCAATGAGGTAATAACTAGGTGTTAAATATTCATACATGTGAATATCTGTGTGTGTTTTTATAGATAGAGAGAGAGAGAGAGATAGAGAGAGAGAGAGTACAACAAGTCATCAAATCTGATCTATAGATAGAGTTAGAGAATAGGAGCATGGGAATATTCTGTGAACAGATAATCTTAATTCTATGTTATAGTAAAAACAACATGAAATGGTGTTTTACCTTCCGGGAAAAAAACATCAAATGGTGTTTACCAAAAAGAAAAAGAAAAAAAAGAAAAAAGAATTTGAGTTGAAAACTGGAACCTCAAATTAAGCATGGGTATAATTCTAGAGCAAAATTTTCGCTATACAGTCCAGGAAGTTGGCCAATGAATAATTTTTAGTATTTCAACCCTATTAGAATAAAGGAAACTGATACATATTGAGGAAATATTTTTATGATACACCACAAAATACTTTTACTGCACATTGATCAAATGGATTGAGAGAAGGTTTATCGGATTAGGGTTGCGTCAAATTTTACATGATTTTAAAGTTATTAACCACTTGATCTATGCACTTGGATTCAGTGGTACATTGAATGACTAGAACGGAAATTTGTTGGTGAAATGGGTTCCTACTATATTATCTCAAATGAATGTTGGTGGGACCTTAGTTCAGGGAGTATTCTTTCAATCCACAAAATTTATTAGCTGTGATAAGGAGAGAGGGGTTCCTACTATATTTAGCATTGCTTTCGAAGGAATTAATCAAAACCCGCAGAAATCTGACTAGATAGGAAGTTTGATTTTTACAAAGTTGGTTGGAACTAGCGATTACTGTGCAATTTGGATTTGGGTAAGAAAACAAAAATGGGC